TCCACCTTAGCTGCAAGTCAGCGAGCATATCATCCGGACGAGTTCTGCAAATCTGAAACACTCAAGATCGGTATCCTTTAAATATATTACCGTTATTAAGAACAAAACCAAAAAAAGACACTTTTCGCGACACCACTGTTTTTCGCGCGAAATGACGTCAGAAGAAACCCGCGCAGAAATTCCATACTGATGACGTGTCACTACCCAGATCTAGCTTCTCATTGGATGAAGTAAATTTCCAACCAATCAGAAGCAGTACCCAGATCTGGTTAGCAACGCGTCCTTAGCATGAAATCTCTGTGTTCGTCCCTCAAACGTCATTGGTGGCGTCACGAAATGTCTGCTGTTTTCTCAGGCTACGATGGGTGCTTAAAGATGAAGGTCGGTTCTACCCTGGATATTCTATTGTTATTTATGACATGATAATAAAGTGTGGGAATAAAACTGAGCGAAAGCAAACTCGGGCAGGATCAACTCCGACTTATTCGTTGGATGGGAGAGTGGACAAAGGGTCTCTTGACTTCCGCGGTCTCGAAAAGAGTGTTGGATTGAAACACTGGTAGCTTCTTTTTTTAAGTCTTATATGCGTAATTCCCAGGGTATTAATGACCAATTCAAATCGAGTTACCAATGCAAGTCGGTTGTTTTATACTCCTTGACATATTTACATCCTAGATGTGAAATACTATCTCGCTAATCAGGCTCACCCGGTTGTAGCTCGTTTGTGCGATCCCATCGACGGCACCGATGCAGCTCATATTGCCCAGTGTTTAGGTAAGTAAATTACCGATTTAACTCCGCGGCTAGAAAACTGCTTGCAATGCATCTAAACAAAATGTGTCTACTGATTAAGTCAGTTTAAAGTATTAACTCTAGTGTTTTCTTGTGTATTACAATAACGAATTGACCTGATATCACAGTTTTATTCTCCCTAGAAGCCTCGGCTAGCTCTTTCTTTAGGGTAAAAACTCAAAGACGGTCTATCCGTATTTGTGGCCTCTGGCACGGACAATTTTCCTCTACTCCTACACCGGAAGCAGTTTTTCTTAAGTTCTCTACTTGCTATCTCTCGTCTCATTGGTTCAGAGCATACAGTTAATTTTGGAAGTCAGCGCAACCTTCAAATCTGTTGGTTGAGCGCACAATGCGTGATTTCCAAGAGCAATGTCAATTTGTGTTCCGCGCGACGGTTCGTTTGTCGTTATTTTCTGTATTTCTTAACATTCAAACGGCTGCACTAAATTTTGTTGTTGTTGTTGGTTTTTCTTTTCAACGATCAGCATCGTTATACGACAACCCTGTAAAGACGACGAGATTTCCGTGACCGTAGTCGAATTAACGGGTTTTTACTGTTCATTGAGATTCCCGTGAAACTGAATTTTTACAAAGTTTATCACCAATTTTTTATTCGCTGCGCAGGCCTGGATCCTTCTGGTTATCTTGGCAGCTCTGCCCTTCATGATGATGAAAATGACGCGTTGCTTGGTGGCCAGGCTCAGATGACAGACGAGGAAAGGTTTAAGGTCGGTATAACTGTGAACATTTTCCCTCCCAGAGGTGATCAAAGTCAAAATTCAACAAAATTTCCCAATTTAATTTTGTTAAATGATGAAAACCAGATAGCAGCATATGAGAATACTGAAGAGGTTTCATTTGAATAGTAACACCATAGGATTTTGTCTACAGATTCAAATCATCATCAGCATCATACATCATCACCTTTATTTATCCTGAGATTTACAGTGTAGCTCTTTAAGCTAATATCTCCGAGATAGAAGAAAATAAATATTTAACTAAAGTAATCATTATCCTAAAAAAAATAATAAATAAGTTGGAACTACATACTAATTTTACAGTACCATGTGAAAGGACTGCTGAAGAGGTTTCATCTGAATGGTAACACCACAGGATTTGATACACAGATTCAAAACTGTTAGAACTACATACTAAATATATAGTACCAAGTTCAAAGTACTGCTGAAGAGGCTTCATTTGAATGATAACACCATAGAATTTAATCCACAGATTCAAAAGTTAAAACCGCCTCCGTCTCCATCTCGATCCATCACTCAATCTGGGAATTAAAAGGTGAAAGAAGTGTTCTAGTGTAGCAGCAGTGATTAAATTATCTTTTCTTCGATTTGTTGACCCCAAAATGACCTTTATTTTAGAAAACCATTAGAAAAGTAGAAGTTAAATAGCACTGAGACGTTTCGTTTTAACGTAAAGTGGATTGTGTCTACGACAATCGACATGTTCTAAAATCCACAAGACCGGAACACAAAATTTGAGGGCGGGGGGCAAACAAGGGGCATCATGGTCTTTGTGAAAATGGTGAATAGGTAAAAACACAAATAGAAACCCTAACCCTAATCGTACCTTACTTGTTTCTCAAGGATTGTGAGCGATTTATAGTCAAGTGTAAACGCTCCAGCTGTGGTCAAGAAACGACCCTCGAACTCCTCTTTAAAGGCGCCGTAAGTACACTTTTAACAGTTAATGTTCATTTACAGTTTAACATCAAATGATATTATTTCCTTCAGTCAGAGAGTTTATAATTTACACTATTCAGGGGTTTAAGGTTAAGCACATTCAATGCATGAGTTATAGCTGAACAGGGATCTGTAAGTTAAAGTCAAATGCGCAGTTTTCCATTTTCGAAAACCAGCAATGTCGATCCCAAGCCTTTAGCAGAGGTAGGTGTAGTTTATGCTCTGGATTAAGGATTACCAACAGGAAAAGGTACATAACAGTTCAAAAACAGATTTAACAAGCTTTTAAAACATTTATAATTGTTGTTTTTATTGAAGCAACCAAACGAAGCACATTACAAGGTTGTATAGTTGAAAAACCACAAGTGCACAACATTTGTGGAGATACGCTCGTGGTTACAGAATTTATGGAAACTTAAAGCTCTTTAAGTTTAAACTTTTTAAAATTCGTTTAGTAAGATAAGGACCTAAAATTGAACGTATAAAGTCTTAGGTCTTAAATTAATACTTCGCACCAATTTTTTTTTTTGTAGTCGAACGCACTGGCAGTCAACGATACATGTCCCGGATGTAACAATCAGTACAGCGCTGGCGCAGTTTCCAACCAGTTGAACGTTGCCATGCGCAGACACATCAAGGAATACTACATGGTAACTGAAGCAATTTTGTAAAGTACTCACTTTTGCAACTGCAATTGTATACAGTGGAACCTCGATTTAAATAAGTGACAAGGGACTGGGGAAATTTGTTCGTTATATCGAGGGTTCGTTATATCGAAAACCTCGTTATCACCTCGACACAAGTTTTATCCTTTTGCATTCATCTTTAGTTATCTTTCGGTCACATGCTGACATTTATTCGTTATATCGAGGTATATTTTACGTTTGCGTTTCTGGATTGTGTTCGTTATAACGACGATTTCGTTAAATCGAGCTTTTGTGCCATACATTTTACTGTAATTTTGGCCGGGTTGATGAAAATCGTTCTTTATACCGAGGACTTTGTTATATAGAGGTTCGTTAAATCGAAGTTCCACTGTAATAAAAATAACAAAGCAACTTGTACGGCTTTTTTGTGGGTTATACAGCAAGGAGCAAGAATTAGCACTTAATCGGTTATTGCACGGCCTTCTGTGCAGGAGGGTCCGACTTTGATTCCAAGATGTGACACCAAATTCTTCTTTCAACTTCTTTCCTTTCCGTGTAGCTTTAAGGAGCTTTAAACACCTGTAAAACAGAGCACTGATGGGGAAAGAGAGGGGGTAAATATGAGCTACTGACGTAAAGTAAAGAGACTTTTATACCTCTATCTTACTTAAACGGATAACACATCCTCAAATGCGATCTCTGTTGGAGTTGCAAGAATGCGACCATCAGCAAGTGTGGGGGGTTTGATAATGATGCCAATCTTAAGGATATTTCCCTCAGTTAGTAAAAGACCTTTTTAGCCGTATGTTTTTTTTTTCCAAATTTAGACCGTTGACCCTAAATTGCACAAGAATTCTTTCTTATCCTTGCCTAAATAAGTTTGTGCGTTCTCTTAAAGGAGCTGTGTCACGATATTCAGCCAAATTGGATAATTATAAAGTTCCCGTTAAATTAAGAGAAACGTAAAAATAACCGCTTAAAACATTAAAGAAAGGTTAAAATAACACAGCAGATACAACAGATGCCACGGATGAGCAAAACTGAAGAAGATTGAAACGGATTGAAATTAGAATTTTTGAAAACTGTTCAGCTAAACAGTTTTTCAAAGTTGATCCCTGCTGCTTGCAACTTCAAAAATAATGCTCAGGAGGCATATTCGTTTGTCTCGAATCTCTGATTTTGTCATTTCCATGTAATTTCTTTTCTTAAAGTTTAAGTTCCATAGCGATTGAGGGCGAGTAATTGGCAAAATCAAACAAAATGAACTGGACTTCCGTGATACAGCCCCTTTAAGTAACAATACTAAGATGGCTGTGAACAGTCTCTTTGTTTAAAAATTCCTTTGTTCTTTTGCTGTTGATTTTTATGCTTTGAAGACAGGTATCAAAACTAACCCACATTATAACTAATCGCACAGGGTTGGCAGAAATGCGAGGACCCGTCCTGTGGTTACAGCACACGTCAAGTACCCCTGACACGTCAACGAGGCGCCCCTATGTGCCCACAATGCTTCAGGGCCCACTTGCATCCAGTGGTGAGTATAAAACTAAAACAAAGACAACCATGACCGTGCAAAATTTTTCTTTGACTCTGTTGGTATTATCAGCTAAAACTATGTACAAACGGACAGGGTCAACAATGTTTGGAGTTTTTAACCTCCGTGTTTGCAGTGGAGTGCACACGGATGCAACAACTCCCAACAATGTTAGGACCTGCAGTGCATCGTGGGAAGGATACAACCCATAAGACTTTGAAGACCATGTGTAATCCGCGTGCGTGGCCCCAACAATTAATGTTCGAGGAGGTTTGCAAACGGATCCAACATTGTTGCGCTACGCTTCGGCGATCACAAAGCAAAAGAAATCTTGGGAGTTGTTGGCTCAAAACTTTGTTGGCCAACAAGGTTGCATCCGTTTGAACGCGGAGCAAGGGATGGCGGAGTGGTGAGAGCGTTCGCCTCCCACTAATGTAGCCCGGGTTCAAATCCCGGCGTCGATGCCATAATGTGAGTTGAGTTCACTCTGCGAGGTTTTTCTCTAGGTAGTCCGCTTTTCCCCTCTCCTCAAAAACTAACATCTCCAAATACCAATTCCACCAGGAATCAGGTAGACGAAGAACCGCTTTGTGGATGTGCTATCTCCAAATCATTATTTATTTATTTTATTTTATTATTTATTTATTAATCATAACTATAATAAAATTCTCAAATCTGATTGGCTATCAACTGCACTGATTTCAGCCTTAATAGGACAGTACGCGTCATGCGTAAATAATTAGGCTGATTTAACAACAGAACGGGAAGGTAGGTTGACAGTGGTGCGCGCAAATCAAACAACTGGCTTGACCAAAGGCTGAGCGGTAAATTGGGCACCAGAAGTCGAGTTTAGTCTTTTCCGCGCGATTTCCCGTAGTCAAGTGACGTTCCCGTTCTGTCGCTAAATCAGCCTATTGGACATTACGCGCCATCACGCGCGCGATTAAATGGCTTGTTTTCACTGTTAGAGAAAAAGATCGTGGAATTTCTTGTGTTTTGATTAAACGAAAGAGCCTTATATATCACAAATTTTGTCAAAATTGTGATAAATTGGTAACAGAACTTCGTGTCGTCCAATTCGGTCTGTAATCATACTCGTGATTAAACAACTCGTACTCCCGCTACGCGGTCATCCGATTTTGTTAATCATATGGTTACAGACCGAATTGGACTCCACTCAGTCCTGTTACCATTACTTATTTATTTATTTAAGTATTTATTTATTTAACATTTCGTGGCCTAACTCCTTTAGTGGTTGCCAAATTGTTTTGTTTTCAGTTCTCCGACACAGCGCTGTACACTCAACTATTGTACTTCTCCCGCTTGTTTGACTTCGATCACGCGGTGAAAAATTCAAAAACAGGTCAGTGTTTTGAGTAAGTGCCGAGTGTGAGTGAAAACGTTATTTACCCACGGTAGTTTCATCAAATACCTTTACGGTTAACTATCTGTTCTTCTCGAAAGCCGTCCTTAAGAAATTCAATTACATAAAAATATGTTTATATCTAAAACTAAAGCGGCTAAGAAGAGATCGCGCACTCTATAAACTAAGAAAGGAGAGAATTTATAATGGTTGACTGACATAGTATGTACGACTTGATCCTCGCCTTGAATTTTGCAGAAAAGTCTCTTTCTTTGAACAAGAAGGGAGGGAACCCCAAAGCTCAACAGCCGCAAAAGCAAAACTATTCTTAAAATAGTTTGTTCTTGCTTTGGGCAGGTAGAAGGACAACTTAACCTTCAAGGGTTGACGTAAACCCGAGCGCCCATTTCTTGCGTCAAGGCTTACGTTTCTCCTTACGTTCGCTTTTTACGCGTTTGAACGGGGACAACTCAAACGCAAGCACAATTGCAAGGTGGAAAGGGCTCAACTGTCATGTTGGGTTACTGAATGATCACGTGCCTTTTTGTGTGTCTGTGCCTGTGTTTGCGCTGGACGTGGGGACTTGTCTGCCTCGTTCCTAGGCGTCTCAAGTGTGTTGGGAAAACGGAACACGCGACTTCGAGCGAGAGTATCGCACAATGAACCATGGGAACGTTGAGCGTTTTCGCAAAGGGCGCTGGGAAGGGTGAACGCCTTTCCCATAATACCATGATCCAGTCGCTCTCCAATCTGCTAGAACGCGCCTGGGTACGAGGCAAGAAACTTGTGCTTCCGCTGGCAAAACAAATATTAAATGTTTCCAAGGAAGTTGTAGAAAGTGCAATTTTTATCCACACCATAGAATGTTTATTATTATTATTATTATTTACTTATTTATTTGATTTGACCTTTAAACAATCTGTTCAAATTTTTTTCGTCTGTTCTTTTTTTAGCTGTGGGCGTAACACAGACTACGAAGTCATTTTACAAAGCTGTGCACTCGGTGATTACCAAAGTCCTATCTGCTAATGGTTACTCTGAAGTGAACCTTTCGAAATTGTTTAGTAGTTTCTTCGTGTAGAAACAGTGAAAAAGTTCATACCCTCCATTAGCCAATCAGAAGCAAAGCCTATATCAGTGATGCGTTGCGTGCGGTTGCCGCGCTTTGCTCTGACTGGTTGGTTAAGGCTAGTTTCATGCGCACTTTTCGACGATTTCGTCTAATTGCCAGTTTTCCCGCCAGTCAGTCAGTTCCCCGCCTTAGCAACCTGGGCTGAGTTGGTCAAAGCATGGTTAGCTTTAACCATTGGTTAAGCAGTATCAAAACCAATACGTTGTCAAGGTATTAAACGCTGGTTAACGCTAACCATGCTTCGAGCAACTGGGCCCTGACCAATTTGTACGCTGTTTTCATTCACTTAGCGTGTACTTTAATTATTCTACAATAACAATATTGGCAAGTAATTAGATGGAAAAGAACGCTTTGATAGCAATCCTATAATTGAACAAAGAATTACGTACTTATTTCCTAATATATATAAGTGTGCTTTCTTTAAAGGTCAAGACTATTGATAAATACGTCTGTAGATGTCTCCTTATAACATTAGCACGTTTAATCACGTAGCCCGTGCTATGTTTTTTCCAATTTAGCTAAATAAAATTTGTATAAAAGTTTCAGCCCGACACTAATTGATTTTAAAAGAATCATTGAAATGCGTTCTTATAGGATTTTCATTCCTGAGGTGTTTGCCTGTTGAAGAATTTATTTCCGAATAATCTCCGACAGGCAAAGACAACGTTTTGGCGAGCACCTTCGGAGCGTCGAGAAGAACTTGCCTGGTTTTCCTGCCGCTGTGTATTTTACACGGTTGGTTACTCCATTAACGACGCCCTTGCTCCGCGGGGACAACGCGCAACGTAAACGCCTGGTAACGCTCCTTCCGTTTCCTTTAGACTGCGTGCAGAGCCCCCGCGCACTAAAAAGGTTTTAATTTTCACTTCCTAAGCGTACATAAAAACCTTGCACCGGTTCTAACGTACTTGCAATGCCACTGATGAAAAGCCAGGCCCGAAGTGTTTGAAAAACAACTTCATTTTAAACAGCAACTTTTGTTCGTATTTTACTTTATTATGAACATTTACTTAGTTTATGTATCACTATGGGATACTGAGCATGCGCAAAAGGTAAAGATGCTTTGCGTCAAAGGAAATCTTATAGAATGATATCAATTAATATAACTGACGCCCGTTTCGTGCCAGACGCCGATTACGCGCGCTTCTTCAAAATTTCCCCCTCAGCCCTAAAAGTCCCGCGCCTGCTTCGCAGGCTATAATTGGAAGATTGAAAAAGTCCGTACAATCTTTTTACCAGATATGCTATCAGGCGCTCTTTGGATTACAAACAAGTTCTGTTCTGTTTTGTTCTAGAAACAGGAATCCACAGAACCCTTACCAGTAATCCGGATCAAGGTCATGGGTTGATTCCCACTGGGAGCCGAGGAAGTTCCTGTTTTTCGGAGAAACACTTGAATTCCCGCGAGGCAGATGTTGACAGGGTGTGGGATGATGGAAAGGTACTCGGGGAGGGGGGGAACTCCCCAAGAAAAAGACCGGGATACTCTTCGTCTCGCTTTTATAGGGGTGAAAAATTTGCAGATCTCGGCCTCACTTGTGGTGTGCGGGACTGAAAGCACGATCAACTCCTGCTGATAGCCAAGATTGTTAGCCATACGTACAAAGGTATCTCTCATTGGGGTTCTGCCATGAATTATCTCTATAAAACAAACCAAGCACCCGCTGTCAAACTCTGTTGAATGCATCTTTTTAGAGAGAATATAGCTCTGATAGCGTTATAGCTCTTAGCTGTCTGTTTTCAGTCGACTTAAGGGTTCAAATAAAGCCTGTGCTTCGCCCAGCTTGGTTTTCTTTGGGAGATGAATTTAGTCCTGACGAGCATCTCCGTCGCATTCCTCCCCTACCCTACCCCTTTAATATTTACGCCTGCCACGTTAGCTATTCTTGAACTTTGGACGATTTACTTTCCTCAGAACAACGAAGTTTTGTTATATTAGCTATTAACAATGATCTGTTGTTTCTATCAAAAATATCACGTGATTCACATCGTCAAGTCAATAATTGAAGACGCCCTCTGTACCACTCACTAAACTGCATCCCCTCGATACAACAGCACCTCTCCGCTCTTATCCCGGGCCCTGGAACACAGGTTTGTCTAAGATTTTACGATATTGGATTTTATGGCTCAATGAATTAACTATACCGTGTGTTGGTTTTGTTAAGAACATCATTTTCGTTTTTAAGGCACATTCCAACCTTGTAAATTGTTTGGAGTTCGACTGAAACACTAGTTCCCCCATGGTAAGATAACGTATGCCTCGTATTTTCTAGAATGAATTTAACCATTCACAATTCTAAAACTATCCTGTTTACCAACCATAACTGAATTGAGATGGTTCAGAGCTTCAATATTAATTATTGTCTGTCAGACTGTCCGAATTGAGGAGAGAGAAATTGGGTACCAAATAATTATTTCTGTTTGTTCTTGAAGTCCCATTGCATTTCGGTTTGGCCATCAACGTACGTTTTTTGAGCAAATATTCAGTTCCCTTTTCTCGGTTAAGACTTTAAAGGTGAAATATTTTGCCGATGGAACCGTTACAATGTCGACTTTTCAGGAGTATGAACGTGAAAGAATCTGAAGCATGAACGCTATTTAGATAAATGGATAAAATGCAGCATCTTAGTGGGACAAACTGCAGTGAAAGCATGTCCAGCACAACAAGTGAAAAGTCTAAAAGGAATGACTGAACTAAAATGATAGCCTGTTTGACAAACAATGTCAGCGAAATAAGGCAACTTTTTAGTGTTGATCATAGGGAAAGTATCGCGTGAATGACAGCGTCACCCACTCGTTAAAGTTCTGCCAAATCTCATTGCAATGGAAAAGTAAGAGTTCACTCCTTCACTTCACTTATTTTCACATTCACGTTTATCTCCGTCCTTCGGATCTTAAAACTTTACTTCAAACCGAAGAAATTTGCTGGTGAACTTTTGACGTATTAGAGAGACGCTCAGTATTTATGTGAACGATACATGGCTTGACCTCTTAGTCTACTTCTGAAGCTTTTATTTTTCTCATGAGCAGAAATCACCAATTATGTCTCAGAAGCAGATATAAACTACCTTTGAGATAAAAGCCACGATAATGACAATGTATCCTGGCTCCAGATGTCCGTTCTCAAAATATCTAGGACGAAATAAACCGTGCTTACGGTTTACGAAAATAAGATAAGAAAAAATGACCTCTGAAACGCGGATAACGAATATGACGCCGGAAAATTAAATGTAAAGTGGAGCAAAATAGGGCGATGGGACTCACAAAGAATTTGGTTGGATTCATGCAACTTTTACCCTATTTTAGTCATTTTCGACCAAATTAGGGGATTTTCGTTTCTCTGATGTTGAACTGATAGAAAATTCGACGCCCTGTTCAAGTATTGTGTCCCCCGTAACTGCTTTGATATGCGCTGACATTAAAGAAAAGCATACCTAGCTCGTGAAACTCTATACCTCGTTTTGGAACTGACTCAAAATGAGAAAGTTCCAGTACACGCATTGAAAACGTTTCGTCTTGTAAAATAACAACCAGTTTCAAGCCAAACCCTAGCCTATTTTAAACCAGAAAGCTTGAAGCTGCTGCTGAAGGCTTAAAAGTTGATGCTGCAAATTATGGGGTAACGCTTCGCCCTGCCCTCATCTCTTGGTGGACCAATAGCAAAAGGCTTCTTTCGTACTTACGGCGATTGCGCAATTTCTCATCAAATTCCGTGACAGGCACATGTCATGTCAAGTATCGTATTTAAATCCACAAAATCAAGATGTGATTGGATTCCCCTTCTTATTTAAAATGACACAGGTCACAGCGGTGATATAGTTAAGGATTCCCTTTCAGTCAAGTTGAATATTTCACAGTCAAGAATCGAGTGAAGAAACCCTTGCATACCATCGTCCACGTTATCTTCCTTAGAGCCTTTATGATCAGGTTTGTGTTTGACTTTCAACATAGTTTTACAGACATTTAGTGCTGACTCACGAGTGGCTTTTGTATGGGGTATCAGTATCTAGTATACAGCTTGCTTGTGACGCCATTATTTCGTAAGATTGTAGCAAGTCTATCGTATGGTATCTTTAAAATGATCTTTACTGACGCTGAAAATAAAACATTCATGGTACTACATTCTGCAGTCAGCAAGGATTTACTCTAAATTAAGAGTAGCTCGAGACTGCAATCCCCGACCGAATGGTGTCGATGGATGAACAACCCAAGGAAGCCACACCCAATTAGTTCTTTACCTCAATCCTTACGACTTCCGATAAACTCTAACTATTTTAACCTTGGTCATCTCTCCTTAAAGCCGGAAAGGTTTGTAGTATTTACTGTCGCAGTTTAATTTATGACTTATTCCTGTTTGTTGTATTGACTACTTGTCAGTTGTTTTGGAAAACAACCCAAAATAATGATCTTACTCATCTGACAGCAGTTTCTGGGCCTTCTGCAGAAATCTGCAGGCATTCGCTCCCTCGATATCCAGACTTAGAGAATCGCGCGTATGAATGCATCTATAGGCTTGTTTTTGTGAGATTTTTATCTACTGATATTTTAAAACATTTTAGATCTAATATCAAAATCAGCGTCTCTATACTGACTATACTATGAAAATAAAAGCGTGAATCCTATTTAAAAAATTATCGTTAGAAATCAAGCTGTAATTTTCTCGTAATAAAGGTGTTAAATGGACCGGCCCCCAGTTTGTTTGCAGTGCAGGCACTACTGAACTGGAGCGCGGCATTAGCGAACGGAACTACAATTTTGACGAACAATGTTAGCGAAATACTCTGCAAATGCTTTTCATGTGTGGTTCTCAGCTAACATCGCATGACTTCTGAATTTAAAGAGACCTTTTCAAAGAGCCCTTCACAAAATGACAGCTCAACCCATGACTCATTAAAGTTAATGCCCAATATCAATGCAATGCCAAAACACCTGCCTGTTCACTTATTTTCTTTTTCACTTTTGGTTCCTTCACGTATTACACTTAAGTTCAAGCTGCAAAGGAGTTTGCTGTAAAGAAATACCTTGAATATAGGCTTAAAAAGTGAACAAGTGAACATACTGGATGCAATTTATGAAAGCGATACATGACTTGACCTCTTAGTCTACTTACACAATCATGTCTTTGTCTATAAGTTGATATATCCCCTCTTTGAAATAAAAAGGCCTAGTGAATTGGTCTCGTGATAACCGAGTGAAACTCATGAGAGCAAGTGAAAACATCTGCTTACATAATGGTAAAGACCAAGGGGAGAATTCTGTCGTTAATAAAATACAGCACGACAAAATGAAGGGGGGAACTTAGAAAGTGATGTTCACTTTTGTGCCCCTTACTTTGCAAATTTAGATCGCGTGATTCTGGACTCATTCTTGGTAGATTAGTGCGTTTTTACAAATGTCGCTAAACACAAAGTTCTGTTGTTTATCTTTCAATCAGGGTCAATCTTTTTTTCCTGTTTTTCGATAGGGAAGTGTGAATTAGAGTAGGATTCATTCTCATTGAGCCACTGTTAAAGCCTGTTGAAGCCGTTTAGCTACATGAACTGAGTTAGAACTATTTCCCGAGGAAGTACGAAGATAGACTGCAAGGAGTCTCTTATTTTTCTTTGAAAAGTTACTGGACAAAAAAACCCAAGCACGCGGGCGGCGAAGCCGCTAGCCACGATAAACGAGGTCGTAATAGACCTATTTTAAGAGAAAATGGGGACTACGAGCAGTCTAGTATGGGGAACTCAAGAAAGACTATTTATACAATTCCTCGTTGCGAATTTGTGTGATCTCTGCATAAAACAAATGATAAACTGAGTATTTTCCTCATAAAATTCAGCTCATATATGACAGTACCCCCCGAGACCTTACTTATCTTCTGTCCCTTTTTTTTTTTTCTCTACATTAGACATTTGCTCCTGGAAAGTCAAGACGTTTGTACTTATCAACATTTTACCTTCAGCTGAAGATTTTTGATCGGAAAGGATAACTTACCCTTTTTATGAGCAGCTTAAGTGAAGAGAATCATTTAAAGAATCAACATGACGCATTCAGTGTTTTTCAATACACACATGATCCATAAAATCTTCCACCAAGAGAGATCATTCTCTCTTTGCTTCCACCAATAGAGAGCTAAATTTTACGAAAGGCTCAAATATTCAGTCATGCATGTACAATATTTAGATAACAGGTTATAACTTTGATACTACTCTTATTGATACCATAGAAATTGTACTGACCTATTTATCGCTTCGATCTCCCGATAATTGACATGATTCGATCCAATTTCCTCGTTTAGTTTTCCCTTATCGCATTCTAATTTTTTTGCAGATCGACCGAGCAAAATACTGGGACCTAAGAGTGAACGTACATGTGACAATAATTGTTCTGGCATCTTCTTCTACTTCGCAAGGAATTGCGAGGTCAGTTTGCTTTTTTTCCAGTTGCTTGGCTTAATTCCGGACTTAATTGCATTCAAAAGGTAATGGTAAAAGGTAATGCTTCTTTTTTTGATCAATGTGGTTATTGTTTATTCCAGGCTTTTGAAGCTTCTTCACAACTGAACAATGGACTACACTGAATCAACGTTAGGTAAGCTTCTTGACCTCAGTAAACGCAGCTGTTTTTGCTTACTGTGAATCTAGAAATGTTCAGTCTAAGAGGAAGTCTTTCTTTAGCAGCCTATTTTCTTTCTCTTTCTACAATTAATGTGAATTATGGGACCCACTTGGTGTTAAAAAACCAGTTAATGCAGACCTTTTTTGTGTGAGTTGAAATTTATGACAATTCGAATTAGGGTAAATCTCAGACAAAATGTACCATTTGTGGCCAAATATCTCTACCCCGAGTAAGTTGAAAAGGGACCACATTACTTTTTAACTGATGAACCTATCAATGTAAAGGCAGTGTTGTGGGGGGTGGGGGAGGGGCAGGGCATGATGTGGGGATTTGACATTGTTCAAAAATTTGTCATCAAACTCGCTGCTCACAGGCAATTCATTCCAGTCAAATGCACAAAAATTTCCAGGCGCTGATAAGTTTTATCAGGGGTGCTGTGATCAGAGAAAATTCAGGGAAAAACGAAAATTTTTCAAGGTCAGGGAAAAGTCAGGGAATTCTGTTTTCTGGTACATTGCATCAAGCTTGGCAATAGGCCTTTAAAGGCAAAATTAAACCTGCATGAACGTTTTCAACCTGATAGAGTTTTCCGTTTTAAAAATAGAACTTCTGTTTACTTTGATACAGCAGTTTATTAAACATCTTGTTGATCCTAGTTCACGTCGAGCGAAGAAAGATTCAAATATCCCCTCCCCTGGGAGAACAAGACCATTCTAATGCCCCACCCCAGGGCCAACACAGACAATCATATCCCTACCCCATCCCATGCCCTGACTTACTTTTTGCCATTTATTTCAGTGAAACTGCATGGCTGACCGAGACAGTTGGTATGACTTGGAGTGACAGACTACTGATGGAATTAATTTTATTTTAACAAACAAAGGTATTCTCTCACAATACTAATCTAAAATGGTATTTCTCTACAGTCTGAGTTCTCTCTTACAGCTGTATGCGATGTGTTATACAAGTAGAATGAAAGACTTTGCTTTTGTTAGTCCTCAAAAATATCCTGGCGATTTGCTGGCGGGGAATGTAATTAGAGATTTTTGACCACAGCTAGTTTGGCGACATTAAAAAATTAATGAAGTTGAGATGCTCCCTGTCATAGGCGTACGGGCCGCTTAGATTTTTTGGGCAGCAAGAGAAACTTTGGGCAAAGCCAGCTTTTAAAGACGTTTTCATGTTTTGTTATTAGTATTTTGAAGAGATAAATATTTTCTATTTTAACCTGAAGTCGGCGTAATAATCCAGTTGCATTCACACGATACAGTGGTTGCCAAGCACGTGATGAGTTTCTGTTTATAGGGGAAGGGTATCATATGCTGAGGTTTTTTTTTATCGTTGGGCACTGTACTGCAATGGGCTATTTCCAATCGTGAATTGATTAGAATAAACTTACGCTAACTTTCTAGAATCATCTCCGCTCGTGGAACAGTGTATGGCAGATAGCATCAGCGACTGATCTGAAAGTGAAGAAGTGGCTGACTAATTCTCACTTTGAATTACGAGAAGAATCTTATCTATCAAGTGATTCAAATTATTCACTAATTTGTTAAAATGGACTGAAATGTTTACAAAATCACTAACAAGAGTGCCATGATACATACTAATGAAATCCTTCTTTTATGCAATTGACCAGTCAATTATCTCTAAAACAATTCACTCACATTTTTAAACAGATTGAAGCTACTATGAGGTGAAATTGCATGTCAAAAGCACTTCGTTTTCTACAGATAACGCCTAAACATCAAGATTTTCCTTCCTTTACTGTATTCCTCCTAACTATAAAAAGTTTATTCCAAAATATCCCAATATCGCTCTTACAGATTCCGGTTTAACTTCACGAACATCGAGGCGACTATCTGAGGAAAAAGCTCGGAAGAACGATTTCATAGTGAGAAATAATGCACCTATCAATGTAAACCCCGTGGGGGGGAGGAGTGCGGGCAAGGGGTGGGGATTTGACAAATTTTGAAATTTTTGGATCAAATTCCCCAGGGTGGGAAACGAAAGGTCGATCAAAAGTGTCAAAAAAGCCCCCACCCCAGGGGAAAAAATCTAAACAAACAATACTATAACACTATATAAAACAAATTAAAAGAATATTTCAAAAGTACATTCTTACTACTTTTATTTATGGTTAATGTAAGCTCCGTTAATTTACTCGCTGTAATTAAGTATTTTCTCTGTCCACTAGCATCTCCTATTTTGAATAACAAAATCACTGCAGGAAGATTGACTGTGCTATTATAATTTATTAATGAAACGTAAAATGCTTTATAACATCTGCTCAACATGTCGGAACAGGTCGGATTAGTGACCCGTAAAAAATCCTCTGACTTTCATGGTGGAATTCGATTTCAATCGAGTTTTGCAATCAGATGGGAACTTGAAGATAAAATCTTTCTCAAAATAGACATTATCTGTTCAGATGACAGTTTAAAGTATCGGATTATGGTGATTAAAACAAACGAAAACTTCATACCTTTCTCCAACAGCGTGACTTGCAGAAAGCCTTGAGGGACGGACTTGCTAACCGCTTCTGAATTGATACCAGGCTTCTATCGGTCAAAGTCAAATGTCCCAACCCCAGCGTCGCTTCGCATGATCAAAAGCCCGACAGGGGGATAGTCTCAGGCATCAAATCCCCGCCTCTTGCCCTCCCTCCCCCACGGAATTTACATTGATTTTAGGTATTTAGGTAGGTATTCTATTTATTTGCCACACAATTACAATAATTACTTAAAGATGCCAAAAGAAAAAAAAAAATGTAGGAAGAGATGGCGAGGAGGCCTAAAAGAAACTATAGAGCTTATGTTAATTAGGCCTCCTCAATTACAATTTTTCGAAGATGGCATAAAAATTACGGCGACGGGTACAATATAATATCAGGTGAAAAATTAAACTAATCAATATTACGGAAGTTTACATGTACAAATGTTGAATATTAAAAGGCTTTTTCCCAAGATTTTTGTTGAAGTATACTAATAATTATTACAAATAAATGCCTTAAGTGCTCTTTTAAAGGAGAAAGGTAAGGAAGCGTTGATGATGTTGGTGTTTAAGGTGTTGTAAAATTTAGGTCCTTGATAAAAAATGGAAAATTGCTTGGTTCGAGTACGACAGAAAGGCAGACGAAATTTACACGAGTTTCTTGTATTATACGAATGAATTTGACCTTGTAAGGTAAATTTACAATGAAATTTTAAAGGCAGAGTATGGTTTTGATAGGAGTACATGAATAAGCCTAGTTGTATTAAGTATATATCATGAAATTTTGAGATACCAAGATTTTGAAAGATTGGATCAGTATGTGCATCGAAAGTGGTTTTAGCTATAGTTCTGATCACTCGTTTCTGTAAAATCTCAAGACGAATAAGGTTAGTTCTGTAAGTAGAGGCCCAAACTAAGTTGCAGTAATAAAGGTATGGATAGACTAGAGAAAAATATAGTGTTCGTAAGGTTTTCGTGGATAAATAGAAACTGGATTTACGAATAATTCCTGTGCATTTAGAAACTTTATTGGCGACATGTGAGATTTCAGATTTCCAATTTAAATTTTCATCCATGATTACTCCCAGGAAAACTGTTTCTTTTACTTGATCAATTTTTTGACTATAAATTAAAAGTTGAATAGTTTGATTTGTACGCTTTTGGGATGCATAATGCTTAGTATAATAGGTAATGGCGTCATTTTGTTGCTATGACAACTCTGATGTCATTGCAACCCTGATCATGACAAATTTTTATCTTTATCTACATGTAATACAACTGTGGTGGCAACTTTTCCAAATGTTTGTTTATGGCGACGTAGTTTATGCTCAAACTTGGCAGGTATTGACCCTGAAAAACTGTATCGAGGCACTTTCATATGCTAGTACAGCCTATGTTGTTGCATCGTATGGCCCTCGTTTCTTTTCGACTGTTTTCTAAAAATTTTTTGGGCAAATGGTTTACCGCCCGCCCTAGACAAAAGTTTCCCGTACGCCTATGCTCCTTGTGAGAGAAAAGCAAAATATTGGAAATTGTTGAAAATAAACTTAGTGAGCAGCATGGAGAAGTGTATGTTGCCTAAACAAAACATTGAAAAAAATAATTCTGCTGGCAACAAATTCTAGTACTCCTGCTATGTAATTGCAGACAAAAAATGAACAAATTCTCAGTGATAGTGATATGTCAAACATAAGGATAAAATTTAATTTAATAATGTAAAACATTATTGAAAAAATAATTTTTGGTTTAGGTTTTGTAAACTTGGCAACGACCTCTAAGGAAACAGTACATGATGACTAAAAAAATATTGTTACTTCGAGTGTAGCACAGAGAGAAAAAGTTCCTCAATATGCAAGAGTGCTTGCTACATTGGGTTTTTCACTGAATTGTGTTTTGGCTGTATGAATTGAGAAATTGAAATTTAAGAGGGTATAGCTATTAAATTTGCACCCGTCATGCAGTCGACTCCTGATAACTCAAACCTCACAATTCAAAGGGAATAAGGAATCTTAAAATCCCTATAAATCCCAGCTAAAAATCATGAAATTAAATACTTGCAAAAAGTATATGGCTCAAATTAAATACTCTGGAAATTAATTAAATGAGAATAAGGTGCACTTCACTTCAAGATCAGCAAGAGATATTACAGAGTGATATTTTGAAAAAGAAATTGAGCAACAAAGCTTGATTAATCAATGCAGTGCTAAACATTGTCTTTGAATTTAACCAACAAAAAAATAAAGAAACTCAAAGAAAACACGATTATAACATAGCTAGAAAATTCGCCTAATCAAATTCAATAGCGCGAGCGTGCTTCATATTCCTATTGAGCACGCTGATGACGTCAATAAACTATTCGTAATTCCTCGAGTGGTTGTGAGCTTAGCAATCCTGAGTCTCCTGCATGAGTTCATCCATAACTCAGCAATAGACAAGGAAGCGTTTACGATGTGTTTTATAAGGAAATTTAAGAGCAAACGTTTGAATTTGTTAGCCGATAGTAAGGAAAAGAGGTGAGTGTTGTTGTTGTCATCTCGGCGAGCTGTGCGAGCTATGGCGTGAGTTCATTCTTTGCAAACTTGTTTTCTCTCAATAACAATTTTTCGGTAAATTAATAGTTTTCCGGCACCTAAATATGGATTTTATAATCATTTTAGAGTACACTTTCTCTCAGTTTCAGGATAAAAACACAAGATTAACTGTGAGGAAAAAAATATATAGTCACGTAAACATTGACGCGTACTGCTTTGAGCGCGCCCTACAATAATAAAATTATAAGTTAACTGATGCATTGATCGCTTTGATGATGTTATAAAACAATTAGTTCATGCTGCAGCTGTGCGTATGTCGAGTTATTGAGCACTTGGGAAGTTTGGAGAGCACTCAAGAGGCTAGAGTTGCACTCGGCTGCGCCTCGTGCAACTCTTACGCCTCTTTCGTGCTCTCCAAACTTCCCGCGTGCTCAATATCTCGACATACGCACGCTGACGCATGAACTAATTGTTAATTGTTCCACAACAAATTCAATGTTTTTGACTGCAGCTGTCACTGTGTTTTTTCTTTTTAAATTCTCATGTGGTTAAAATAATTATTATATGGTCAGAGTTTTGAGGGTAAAATTGTATAGAAATTATCTGAAGGGAAACAAAATTTACTTCAAGTTAGTGGGAGGTTGATAATAATCTTTTCTTTCTATTATCTAACATTTAATTTGTGATCTTACTTTTTGACATTTTAGGGAAATTGTTAATTGAGACACCATGGCACAGGACCAAGAACTTAATAGGAAAAGGAAATAGTGCTCATAAGAATATGGCAGATGTTCCACCTACACTCACCCTAGAACTTCCCAAGAAAAGTGATCTTTCTAACACTTTTAAACCTTGGAATGAAGTCCATCTTCCAATCGACATTCTTTTGTTGACAGTGAAGGACTGTGAGTTCCTAGCCTGTTATACATACTTAAGAAATTCCTTTAAAAGCTTCCACGTGAACCTTGGATATGTGTACTTTGGGAACATGGGTAAAAGCGGAGATGTGCCTCTAAAAGTTGCTTTGATGACATGTTCTGAAGGCTCTTCTGCTCCACATGGCTCACTGATCACTGTTAAGAATGCTGTGATGGAACTGAGACCCAAAGCTGTTTTCTATGTTGGCAACTGTGTGGGCTTGAACCCAGAAGTCACCAAGTTACAGCTAGGTGATGTGGTGGTATCCTCTAAGCTTACAACTGAATCATTAAAAACCCCGGTGGGAAGAGGTATCTTGCACCTTGTCAGGCATGCAGATCATGGCTGGATTCCTCCATTAAAACGTCCAGAAGATCGTAAAGTTCAGGTCTGCTGTGATGGGGATATTTTAAGTGGCATAAACCCAGTCAGTGCTAAACAGCAAAACATGTCTCATATTACTCAAGCTACTGCATTTGAAATCGGTGGCGAAGGTAAGATAATTATTTATTGCCTGTTAAAGGAGAGGAGTGGTGGTCCTAGAGGTCCAGAGGTCCAGGTTAAGGCCTTGCTGCACTTTGTGCTGTTTCCTTAGACAAGGAACTTTGATTCACTGTCCCTCTTAAGTTAACTTCCCGCATTTTCTATACTAAATTATGGATAAAAAACTGATTCGAGGACAGCAGTTTAAATGGTGTTTTCCTTTGGATAAAATACATAAGGATAGTTAAATTCTATTAACATCCTTATGCATAAGCTGGTTTTTTATTTGTTTGTCCTGTTTTTTGTTATTTAAATATGCTGATTTATATCTGCCTTTTAAAATCACTCAGTGTTACCATTTTCTGTCTACCCATTTGCCCAGTAAATAATATTGTTTATGTTGTCATATCTTGATCAACCCTGGTTGTGATGCTCACTGGTGGATCTTTTTGCATCTTGAATTATAAATCATTTGTTGTTTTTTTCCAGGCCTTTTTGTTGCAGCACATGATCTTAAGATTGAATGGGTGATTGTAAAAGGTATTTCTCACTTTGCCGATGGTAACAACCCTGCAGAAAAGTCTTGGGAGAGTCATGCATGCATAATGGCAGCTTCTCTTGTGTCCAACATGCTGAAGGATCCATTTGTGTTTGAACAATGGCCTCATTATGAAGGTAGGTGTCATGCTCCTTTATTAAACCATGTGATAATTAAATCCTTACCTTTGTACAGAAGGATTAATTTAGTGTTTTTGGTTAAGTACTGATCAGGTTGATTTAAAATACTCACTCTCAAACCTTGTTAATTAATCTCTTATAATAAACTTGAAAAAGGATGGAGTTCAACATTTTTTTGGTCAATTCACAACTGTTGGAAACTATAAAATAGGTAAAAGAAAATTATGAGAAAAAGGTTACAAAGAAATTGGTCAGGTGGACACGAGGGAGATGTTTTCTGATAAAATTGATCAGTTGCTTACCATACTATTTTAGGCAGTAAGATTTGTGGGTTGGTACTCTGCAAGTGCATACTTAGGGACCTAAAGTCTAAAATGACCTTTTTTTAATTAGAGCATAAGTGGTATCTGTTAGGAGCCTGTAAGGTTGAGTGGGAATTATTTTGTTACTCAAGTGATTTTTGGTGCCTCTTAGGCATTAAAATGAAGTTCTTCCTTGTCACAAAGTTAGATTCTGTTACTTTCTAGGGATACTTTTGGATTTTTTTTTACAAAACCCTGTTTTTTGTTTTGTTTTTTGTTAATTTTAATTTTTTAGAGGGGGGTATCTCCTTTTGGTACCTTCCAGGGGTTAAAGTGAATTTCCAACATGCCCGCAAAGCAAGATTCTGTACCCTCTAGGGACGCTTTTTGTTTTTATTATTATTATTATTTTTTTTTGACAAGCGCCCCTATTATCTTTAATTTTTTATTTTTTGTAAAGCAGTTGTGCTATTTTTAAAGGGGACTATCTCCTCCTCCTTTTGGTACCTCTTATAGAGCTTAAGAGGGGAGACTGGTTAAAATTTGGGGGAAATAATGTTAATTTGGGAAGGAAATATATGAGGGTAGAATAGGTATACACATAAATCAGTTAATCTGCTAATAGGATCAGAGGCATCTTGTTGTGGTGGTGGACTATCTGGTAATCGTCTACCAATATTATTTACTTCATATTTTAATTTTTAACAACCACCATTCCAATATTTTCCCATTTTTTCAAAATTTTAAACATCTCCCCCCCTAATTTTTATACATTAAAAACATTCGAAAAATCATCCGAAAATTCTTACATAATTAATGACTGCATCTTAATTGAGTCATTTTTGAATTAAAGGAAATCTTGGCTAGATATTTAAGAAAATGAGTGTAAATCAATGAAAAATAATGCTTTTAACCAGACTCCCCCCTTGAAATGAATTTCTTCCATGTCTACAAAGCAGGGTTTTTGTACCTTTTAGGGATACTTTTGAATTTTTTATTTGACTAGCACCACAGTTTTTTAATAGAGTAGTATCTCCTCCTCCCTCCCCCCACGCCCTGAGAACACTAGTAACCAACTTAACAGGCCTGTCACTACGGGCTGAGAGGCATAGATTCTGACTGGCTACCCCTGGTTACTTTCATAGGAATTAAAGGAAAATAGGGACAAAAGAATTTCCAGGATGTTCTATTCAACTTGAAACCATAGTGACAGCCCTGAATGCTAAGCAGTAAGCTCTCAGCACTGCTGGCTTTATTTTCTGGTTTTAGATCATCCTAGAACTCTACCCTCTGATTGGTTGATAGCTATGATTTTGAAAGGTCCAGTAAATATTTGGGGGGCTTATTTCCTGTTTTGAAAATGTTTTTGAACTGCAACTGCTTACTAGATGCCTTTCAGAGTCAACTCAATGTGCAGGAGAAATCTTGTGTAACCAAGTTTAAAAGATACATTTATTGTCTAAAACTGTGCACACTGCAACCAGGCACCTTTAGCAAATTAAAATGTCAGTATCACCCACAATTAAGTAAAAGCTAAGATGTAAGCATCCAGTCCCAAGACAAGCTGCTCAGTGCTTTTTGTTGTTGAAACTTTATTATTCAGACCTAGAACCTAAGATGTGGGTAGCAAAAAACTGACAGATTGATAAACATTTTCCCCAAATTCTTTTGAATAACTGTTGTTTTAAATGTCTCACTTCAATTTCTATCCTATTTTGTTTACTCACAGACTCGTCAGCAAAGAAACAGCCCTCTTGCTCTAGGGTCAATAAGGAGGAGTTACCAGGTACTATTATATCCAATAAAGCTGAAATGGTACCAGACATACAGTAGATTAAAAACGCTTATTTTAATATGAAAATGACTTTTATCGTTTGTTATATTGCAATACAAAATGATCTTTATTGTAGCAATTGTATATTTTTATTTAAAAAATAAGTAGCAAAGAAGAAGTATGATGTGACACTTCAAGCGTCAAATTCTTTCTTTCATTCAATCTTTCTGTTAGAGTTTTGCTAAGGTATTTTTAACCTGCGTTAATCCTCGAGGTCAGTTATACAAAATAAGAATTATTTTTTAGCACTCAACCACAAAAACGTCACTAACAGCTTTGGAGAGGTACCCCTCTATGGGCGTGTCCTCTCTGAAGCTCTGTGCGTGGGACAATGTTCCTTTTCATATTCCTTCTACGTTTGACCATAGTATATATATTTCTTCATTGATCTCTTTATATTCTGGTGTTTTAAAGCCCTCATATCAACGTGCACTGTTACTCACTTCTCTGTTTGATATCAGTGAAGGCTTATATTTTGTGCTGGTCAACTAGCTCCCTTTAACTTTCTTCACCTATTAAGATATCAAGTTATTATAACGAACAATTCTTGAAAAAAAGGAACGTAAAATTTTCTTTAACAGATTCTCTCTGCCTCGAGGAGTGCCAGAAACAGCTGCGATCAATTTATGAAACCAACAGCAAAGTCAAAATCGTTCCGTGGGACCAAAGCTCTGCCGTTCATATCGATGAAATTTACACCCAGTTGTCTTGGCTTATGGATGAGAAGAAGCCCAGCGGACTAACACAGAAGAAACTCCAACACTACACCAACCTTTTTGACGGCGGAAGACTTCATCAAACGCCTAAGCGCATTTTGGTTCACGGACGACCAGGAATCGGCAAGACCGTTTTTACGCAGAAAGCTACATTCGACTGGTCCCAGCACAGATTTAAAGGAAAGTTAGGAAGATTTGATCTTGTACTTTTGGTCAAATTACGCGATGTTTGCAACCTCGGCGATGTCCCAGGCATTCTGAGCAATGCTAATCTTCTCGCGAGTGATGGCCCGATTTCCACTGACAACCTGTACGATTACGTTCGTCACCACCAAGAAAACGTGTTGCTCATTTTGGACGGCTACGATGAATACGTACACAGCGCAGAAAGGCAATCTCCTGTTCTTAGAATCTGGCAGAAAAAACAGTTGAGGGATTGTTGTGTTATTATAACGTCTAGAGACATGAAAGGGGAGGATTTGAAAACTTCCAGCGATGCTCAATTTGAGATCGACGGTTTCGACCGTAAGCGACAAAAAGAGTTCGCCCGTAGATTCTTGAAAGATGATCAAGATATTAAGGAATTTTTTCGATACTTAAAGCAACAAGACCTACAGGACGTAGCAAAAATACCTATTTTGCTTTTGATGTTGTTGTCGGTTTGGAAAGAGAGGGATCGTGAAGGACTACCTTCATCACGGCCGATGATATATTTTCAGTTCATTCAGACTTTGTTTGATCATATGTCTGAGAAACAAGAAAAGCCGGCGGAAAAAGTTGACGACCACAAACAAGAACTCTGTAAATTAGGAGAATTAGCCTTTGACGCACTTCTGCAAGATCTACTTTATTTTCCTGTCAGTAAACTGTCGGATCAGGTTTTGACCGAGAAACTGATCGAGGCCGGGTTGTTTCAGCTCCTAAACATGACAGCTCACAAGCGGTGCAAAGCCGTGCACTTCATTCACAAATCCATGCAGGAGTTTTTGGCTTCTTTATTTCTAAAAGAAGAACTGTTATGCCAAGAAAGTAAAAACAATTCCCTTTTCAAAGTCGACTCTATTGAAAAGATCTTCAAGTTGAATGAAGTTTTTAAATTTGCTGCTGAAATGTCAGAAGAAGCCGCGCGCGAGATCTTGATTTATCTGTTGGAAATGGCGGCGAAGGAAGACGGAGAGTACAGCTTCGACAACGAAGCACCGTCACTCGAAGATTTGTCTAATGAACAAAAAAATCTTTTAACTCTATGTACACAGTTATTCTTCTACTGCTCAGCAGACACGAGAACAGAACTTTTGCCCACTTTTCTTTCTAATCTAGGAGGTGTTTTGTTCATTTCAAATCCTGAGCAGCTGAATATTGCAACAAAGGAAAATTTTGTTAAAAGTACCGCTTCACTTATGTACATATTTTTCTCTTATAGCGACCAGTATACAGAGCAAAGTTATAATAATTTAATAACTTTAGTACAGCAATTAAACGCTGTTATAGTTAGCAGAACAGGAGAACAGAAAGCATCAGAATTTTTGAATGTATTTCCATGGCGTGGTGTTGACGAGTTTTTCTTAATGAAAGAAGAAAATAACACTTACCTTTATTTTACTCAAATTGTAAAAAATCCTATAAGAAGCATTTCTTCTCTTCCATATAAAATGGTAAAGACGTTAGTTAGTTTAGAAGAGACAACAAAGAAGACAAACATGAATGGTGATGAGTCAAGTGAAGAGAGCAGCAGCAGCTGTTGTTCAAAGCGTCATGGTGTCTCCAGGGTTTGGGGGATTGCAGCTGTTGGTGTGAACAGGTCAGAAGTGGAACAGCTGATTGAGATGATGCCGTTTATCACCGCTCCACACGTGATAGGGGTTGTGGGTGAACACCTTGAAATGTTTAATGCTGAGGTAACAGAGTCTCTACTGAGGAGCATCCCAACAACACACAAACTGGAGAGATTAATACTCTGCAATATCAATGTAACATCATCACCTGCTGTGGAGTTCATCAGCAGAGTATTTAAACAAGATCTTCCAAACTTGAAGTGGCTCGACATGTCAGACAATCCTCTTCTGGGTGCAGGAGTCGACAGCTTGATAAAACATCTCAGCTGCGCTCCTCACCTGGAGACACTGGAACTTTTAGAAGTGAAGATGACTCCACAGCAGGTGATGAATCTCACATCAGCTGTACAGCAGCACGGAAACATCACTCAACTGGTGTCACCCTACCACGTAAGTTTTCCAATTTTATCGCAATTTGTTTCTTTATTCTTTGTTTACAGTTTATTTCTACTCAGCTCTTGCCTTTCGCCATTTTCCTTTCTTTGTCATTTTTATACTCGACAAAACACGAGATTTGCTTTTGAAATCAAATCACAAACTTTAGCAGATTCAAAGTATCATTTCAAATTCATTTCTTTCAACTGATTAAACTAACTCCATAAAATGTTTTAACTGAGAACGTTAAGAACAAGTAACTTTAGCTGATATTAAAACATGGAGTTAAACACAAGAAAAGAAATTTCGTATCCTCAAGGAGCCATAAGATGATATTATTGAGTGAAAACAAGAACTTTTAGCAAAGCAAAAGCATATAATTTCCACAGTATTAATTTCTGAATCAATTTTAATTCATACCTTTTCATAAAGTAACGAACAACAATCATAAAAGCAAATGTAAGATGTTCAGTTCATGTACAATTCAAACAAATAAGCAAAGAGTAAACACATTAAACTCACGGTTTCACACTTATCGTCCAAGGCTCCTATAAAAACAGTTTAAGTCAAGTGAAGTTCTTTTGAAAGTCCAGAAAACAAACAAGTCTTTTATAGCTGTTCTTTTGTTAGTTCTTGAGCGTTTCTTTGGTAAATACTGGTCCTTGCAGTTCGGTGAAGCGTTGGTTTTTGAAATAACAACCCGCACAAAAAAATTGTATCTTCGAGACAACGGTTGAAAGCAACACCAAAAAAACTTTCCTTACAGGTAAACACTTCGCTGTTCTCCACTGTGTAGCATAAGTGTCCATGCATGATTTTCATCGCGTAAATAGCATGAGCTTGTTTTCAACTTTCCAAGAACACTCGCCATACAAATCAAATCCTGCGGAGCTTTGCGCTTTCGTAAAATATCCTTAAAAATGATGTTTCCTTGAGCTTCGAACAACTCCTTAGCATATTCCTGAGTAAAAAGAGATGAATCCCTGTCTTGTGTAAAATAATTTCCTTGATGTTTTCTTATTAAATTTTGAGTTCATCCTGAACAGTTTGCCGTTGAAGAGCGAACTGAACAAACTACGAAAACAACAAACGATGTCATTCAAAGCCTAGTAACGTCGCCGAAGCTGATTGGTTAAATCACCTGGGATGATTTTTCACGTGATGATTTTTTCCCGCCTTTCGTTTTATCACGTAACAAATTCCCGCCCGCACAAAAATACACTATGATCTGCGAATTTTGTAAGGCTGAATATATTTTCAAAAGAAAAGAAAAAGGATTTGCTTATTTTGATTTTGATTCCACTATTTTGAATGCGAATTTGTTGTACGTGCGCCTTGATAAAGATAATGTTTCTCTTTCCAATCCCGCCGAGAGGGGAGAGGTACAGGGGGGTAAATCTCCCTCCTCCCTAAACTTGGTTTAAAAATTGGTGACGGGTGACACTCGTTTCTTGCACTTAGTTGTAAAGGAAGTTTTTTACCTTAAGCGCTTCGCCCCTACACCAACATACTAGACAAAGAAGGCGTAACCACCGTGTGTCTAGTGCATTTCTGGCCCCCCTCTCTCTCTCTCTATGTCACGCAACGCCGGACAGAGAGGGTCCTCCCCCACATCCCTTATCATCACGCAAAAAGCCATAAAGTTAATTTTTTATCGATATCTCCCTACTCGCAACATTTCATTTTCTCCCTCCTGCCTATTCTGTTTCTCTTCCCTTGGCCTGTTCCAGGCGTTCAGACAGTGGGGGAAGTAAAAAGGAGTGCGAAAAAATAAAAGCGAGGCCCCCTCTACTTTTCATCGCTTTCTTTACTTCGCACCGCTCTCCACCATCTGAACGCTTGGAACAGGCTACTCTTCCCTCCGCTGAGAAGTCAGAATCTTCGCTAGGAAAAATTTCTCTCAGCAAATAACTGTAAAGACGCTTAAAAATAGTTTGTCAGTTGTTGTTAACACATTAACCTTGTGCTCGTATAATTTTTGACAAGGTGTCGGGTTCGAATCCTGCTCAGTACCCTTTCTTCTTTCCTTCAGTCTTTCTCTTTTTTGTTTCGTTTGCTTATTTGTTTTTTTTGTTGATGTTTTTTAACTAATATATACCTTTTAGAGCAAAGATTGTATGTTTATGGATAAACAATCTGAATTTCTATCGTTTCCTACAATTTTCATTCCTTTTTTATTGCAATATATTGTTCAAAACTAAAACAGTAGCCACATGCAATCACAAACTGCCTTTTATTATATAGGCCAAGTTTTGATTGTTGATCTTTACTTTCGGCACGTGAGGCTTGTTTTGAACTTAGTACATCTTGTCAAAGTTGTTGTCATATTGACAATTGTCTTTCGTTGGTCAGTGTAATCGTATTGTACTTAAAATGAAGGTTTTCAAATGTGTACACGTCCACACTTTATTAAAGGGAGATGGCTGGTTTTAAGTATTGTTTTGTATTTTGTTGAAGGATGATAAAGGAAACCCCATACCTGAACATAAATGGCCATCAGAGAACGACTGGAAAAGGAGGTACCCTGACCTCTTTCCTGATTCATCACCTGAATCAGCGCATGAGAAGGAGCAGGTTAGTCATCACGCACCTATTTTTGTGAAAGTTTATTTATTAAATATTTAGTAAGACTTTCATTGTTTGTGTGAACAGCTCTGTTTTTCTGTCCCTCAGAGATAATCAAATACGCTCAAGAGCCTTCATTTATAAGTTTCCATTACGGAGGATTTACGAGTTGGTGATACTAAGTTAGTTTTTAATACAGTAAAAACCCGCGTGTAAGAATCTAGTGGCTTAATAATCTGCTGGCAGAAATTTGCTTCTTTAATACCAAACAATATAAGAACCAGGTTGGCCAAACGAGATCAAGCAGGTTCTTATCTGTGGGTTACAGTTAAATTAATAAGCTTATTCATCATCTAAAAAAGAGATTCAACAGGAACAGGTTAGTTACCAGTTTCGTTTGTTTAAGTTTATGCATCAGTCATTTAAAACTCCGGCCCCCGACCCCCGGGACTTAGCGGGGAATTTAACATTGGATTGGTGTTAAAACACCGCCAATTTCCCCGCTCCCCTGGCCAAGTAGTTTGTTCAAAGCCCCCTATAGCAGGGAATTAGTAAAGTGTAGTTCTAGGCTCGATTTCAACCGCTCTGTCCGATCTGGTATTCTGTATTTCTTAAAATTAAAACCATCGGACCTGTTAATGGAACCTCTCGATTGCGTTCCTTCAAATTCATGAAAAATGTTTCCGTCGGTGCCAGAGGATTTTTTCCTTACCTACCGTATTTATTCGAATAAGCGCCCAACCTCGAATTAGCGCCCACCTCGAATAAGCGCCCGTCCTAAAGGCTGAAAAAGTTAATAAGCGCCCACCCCCTCCTCCTCCCAATCAAACTCAAATAAGCGCTCACCACCACCCCACCCACTTGAGTGAATAAACTTTAATAAGAGACTTTCCCGATGACGGAGTTTTCTTCAGAGTATTTTACAGAAACCTTGCTTTGTTACTTCCTCGCGTTTTGTTATTAGCATTTATTGTTTTGTTGCAAAATAAACATACTTCACTTGCCGAAAATGATGAAAATTTAATAAGCGCCCAGCCTCGAATAAGCGCCCACCTCGAATAAGCGCCCACTCTCAAGGTCCAAAAATTTAATAAGCGCCCAGGGCGGTTAATCGAATAAATACGGTAATTCCTGAGAACGTACCTCTGGAGCCAGTACAGAAAAATGTGGTTAGATCGCTTACAAAAAAGTAACCGTCTGTATGGTATACTTGCAAGGGCAAGGGATCTTAAGCGAAACCCGGGGGAGAAGGGGTACTTCCTTATATAAGCCCTATAGGTACAGTCAATTCTCGCCTTGCGAACACCCCGATAATACGGACAGCAGCTAAATTCCCGGGCAAAAACAAATTACAGACGTTTGACTTAAATAAACTCCCGCTATTACGGACTCTCGCTAATGAGGACACTAATTTGGGTCCCTAAAGTGTCTGCTAAAAAGGGCCGGTTGACTGTAATTCTGACATAATTTCTGCCTAAATGTCAGGTCTGAAAACGGGTGTGGATTTTAGAGGTCAGGTCTGAAAAAGGGTGTGGAAAATGACACTTTTTGGTCTAAAATAGGGTCAGGATTTGGAGAACTAAGCGGCACACCCTCACCGAGAATTACCCGGAGTACCCCCTGGGAAGCGAAACAGCTCTGTCTTTCTCCAATTTTCTAATCGTGAAAGTAATGGGAGAGGGATCGGGAAACTTAGAAAGCGCTTTTGCGATTATTTTATCGTCGTGTACGTACGAGGTGAACAAGTGAGACTCAAATGAGATTTGTGAAGTCCTTGTAAGTCAACGCTCGACCAATGTGTAGGACGTTCTATACACTTTGTTTCTGTGTCTTGAGACTAGGGCAACCTGTTTTGTGCCTTCGTGCCCCTTTTCTCCTTTTTTTTAATATTATCATTCTCTGCGGCATCATCTCTCTTCTGCAGCCATACAAAACTTTGGGAAACGAGGTTTTTCCTTCAGTCACTCATGTTAAATTCCCGCTTCCGAAAATTCGTATTACTGTTAATTCTCGCTCATGACATGGGTAAAACAGGTATTTTGTTAATTTCCCCGCCACCTTGTTTCTCTTTTTAAGCTGTTTGAGGAAGATACCACTGACATTTTGTGCCAAGTAGACCGAGTTTTGTATAACAATTGGTAGATCAACGAAAGAAATTAGAAACAGACACCTTATCTATTATTTAAGAAATGAGTTCGTTTTGTTGTTGTAACTCCGATGAAGTAATCGATAACTCTCCATCTGGTTCGGATGGTTACAGTGTTTTGCAGCAAGTCCAGTCACTAATATAACTGTTCGCACCTTAAGTATCTCACTCCTTTAGCAGAACTCTGTTCCCGGCTGAATTTGCCCATCAGACACTGTACTTCTTATTACGCCAAGTATTGATTTATTAAGTGATCTTCACAGTTCGGTACAGTACGTGCGGCCTGTTTTGAATTTAGTACATCTTGTCAAAGTTTTTGTCAACCCGGCACCACTTTTTTCTTTGCTCACTTAAAATATCCTTTGTTTATGTTCTGTAATCCCATTGTACCTAAATGTGTACACGTCCAAATTTACCCCAAGGAGGTGGTTGGTTTTAAGTATTGTTTTGCATTTTGTTAAGGGAATTTGTTTAACTTTGTTTAAAATTATTTACTGTATTTTATTGTATTTCATCTTAAACGAAAATATTATTAAGACTTTTAGTGTTTCTGTCCGCCGGAGATGATCAAACACACTCGAAAGCTTTAGTTTATAATAAGGCCTCTACATTACAATTCTTACAATGATTTCTAACACTTAACACTGAATTCGTTCCCCTAAAATTCTGAAATACTGCAACGAAATTCTTTTATATAATATGTTTCCCTTCGACGTACCGGGTGGATCTGTAAACTTAAGGCTGGAAATACTTAAGCTTGAAGGCCTTTTTAACGGAGTATTTCCTTATTTGCGTGTAGTTAACTACGTTGTGTGTGATTGTGTTTGTGTTTCTATTTTGTAGACCCATGAAAGGGCATCAGAGTCTCGAAGAAGAAAGAAATGTTCTTGCATGTAAATTACTGTGCCAGTTAAACAGCAATCTTAAGTACTGTCCATCCTTAAAGACTAAATTATAAAAACAGCAGTTTCTGTTTGAAAACAAGCTCCTGCGGTTATTTTGATTATTTTCACATTTTTGTCTTCAATCGGTCGTTTTCAAGTTGGCTTAAGCCTCTCTTTCAGAGCGAGGCTAAGTGTAAAGCCATTGATAATTGAAAATGATTTTTATTCCCATACAAATAAACTTCATTTTCACAAGAAAGGTTTTGAACTTGGCCTCGTTTCGAAAGTGAGAGTTTTTGGAACTCGGAAATGGCCAATTGCGTCATAACTGAAAGAGTTGAGAGAGTCGTGGTGTTCAATAAATTAGACTTCGAGTGGCGACCTGGAACAGAAAATGACAAATCCTCTTCCCGAAAACAGAAGAAAACTCAGAAGCGTTCAAGAATCGTGTGTCACCACTTGCGCAAAGCAGGCGTCCCAGGATTACACGGCTCAAGATTAGCACTCGCAAACTCCCAAAATCCGAGTGGTTTTCCGAAGTTGCCAGTCAAAAGAAAATCCTCTAGCAAAAATTGGCGGGTAAGCATTTCTCGAGTTGAAATTTGAGAGAGAAGATAATTGTTGTTGAAGAATTTTGGTCATTTTGTGGCTAAAATAATCCATGCATACATTGACTGATTGTACGAGAGGAACGGGTGGCATGTCAGCCACTGCTCATTTGTTTTATTTACAACATTACAATGTACATTTTAGCTCGGCACCGTGATTTATACTCGGTTCCATTAGGTCAGTAAGCCGGCTTTTTCAGCTTTATCCTTCTAGACTGTCTAAGAAACCCTACATTTTTGAGATGGTTCTCGACCTCGAAGACAAACAATAGCCTGTGAATTAACTGCTTTTGCTAGTAGAAAAAATTTTTACAAGCAAAGCTTTGCCATTGAACTGAAATTTAAGATCGAGCCCTGTAGGAACGAGCTTGCATTTTAGCGGATTTCAAGTCAGTTTGTAATTTTCTGTTCCACGATCCTTTGTGTTTGACAGTATCGAGTTTTAGATCCGAGTTTACCGCGAACCTCTAACCGCTGGAGGTCACGTGACAAGTCTTTCGCGTCACGTTACTGGTGGGATTAAAGCGACGTCACGTGGTTTCTCAGGGTCGCGGTCGCGCGATCGCAGAAAATTTATAATTTTTCATCTTAAAGACGATAATGGCAAATTATGGGTGGAAATGATCATTGTTACTTCTTTGGATGCAGTGGCGACTGTAGATGTGGCAGGTACAGAACACATGATCACAGGTCACAGGACAAAAGGAGTAGTGTAGGAGCTGCTCGGAAGGTCTCTCCTAATTGGTCGCAGGAAACAATGACATGCCATTCTTTCAATTGTTTTAGTATTGTTTAGTTAGGGTTAGGTACCCAGATGTCAACACAGCAATCAATAATGACGTAAAACTTGACGAAACTCGAACCGTGCATTTTGCATCATCGTTTCGTTTTGAGAAAATAAACAAACTCGACCGTTTTACCCCCTGAAATACCACGTGACATTGCTGTTATCCGATCAATCCTCACGGCAGTAAAGCGCGTGCAAAGATGACGGGTATCGTAGAGAAATAATGAATGAGGTCTGTTTCTGTGCCCATGGTCCGTACAATCTTGAAAAGGTCTTGAATTTTACTAGTCGTCTTGAAAAGTCCTTGAATTCGGGTTAGGTCCTTGAAAAGTACTTGATTTCTTTATTAGGTCTTGTCTCTAAAAGTCCTTGAAATTCACAACCTTGTCAACGCCAGACAACTTTTTTTCTGTTAAATTAGATTATTTTGCCGAGGGACATTTGGCTCATCCTCGGTGTAAGAACCTGTAAAACTCACGGGTAACGTAAAGACATTTTGTGCATGAACAATATTTTATTTCTGTTTCTTTATTTCAAATGCTATTTCTGTACCTCAGATGCAATTACAACTGAGTCATACACAG